CACACTCACACTCACACTCACACTCACACTCACACTCACACTCACACTCACACTCACACTCACACTCACACTCACACTCACACTCACACTCACACTCACACTCACACTCACACTCACACTCACACTCACACTCACACTCACACTCACACTCACACTCACACTCACACTCACACTCACACTCACACTCACACTCACACTCACACTCACACTCACACTCACACTCACACTCACACTCACACTCACACTCACACTCACACTCACACTCACACTCACACTCACACTCACACTCACACTCACACTCACACTCACACTCACACTCACACTCACACTCACACTCACACTCACACTCACACTCACACTCACACTCACACTCACACTCACACTCACACTCACACTCACACTCACACTCACACTCACACTCACACTCACACTCACACTCACACTCACACTCACACTCACACTCACACTCACACTCACACTCACACTCACACTCACACTCACACTCACACTCACACTCACACTCACACTCACACTCACACTCACACTCACACTCACACTCACACTCACACTCACACTCACACTCACACTCACACTCACACTCACACTCACACTCACACTCACACTCACACTCACACTCACACTCACACTCACACTCACACTCACACTCACACTCACACTCACACTCACACTCACACTCACACTCACACTCACACTCACACTCACACTCACACTCACACTCACACTCACACTCACACTCACACTCACACTCACACTCACACTCACACTCACACTCACACTCACACTCACACTCACACTCACACTCACACTCACACTCACACTCACACTCACACTCACACTCACACTCACACTCACACTCACACTCACACTCACACTCACACTCACACTCACACTCACACTCACACTCACACTCACACTCACACTCACACTCACACTCACACTCACACTCACACTCACACTCACACTCACACTCACACTCACACTCACACTCACACTCACACTCACACTCACACTCACACTCACACTCACACTCACACTCACACTCACACTCACACTCACACTCACACTCACACTCACACTCACACTCACACTCACACTCACACTCACACTCACACTCACACTCACACTCACACTCACACTCACACTCACACTCACACTCACACTCACACTCACACTCACACTCACACTCACACTCACACTCACACTCACACTCACACTCACACTCACACTCACACTCACACTCACACTCACACTCACACTCACACTCACACTCACACTCACACTCACACTCACACTCACACTCACACTCACACTCACACTCACACTCACACTCACACTCACACTCACACTCACACTCACACTCACACTCACACTCACACTCACACTCACACTCACACTCACACTCACACTCACACTCACACACACACACACTCTCTCTCTCTCTCTCTCTCGCTCACACACACACACACTCTCTCACATACACATATATATATATATATATATATTCAAACTCATTCAAACTCATCTATCTAATATTTCTAATATTTCTAATATTTCTAATCTATCCATCTATCTATCTATGTATCTATCTATCCTAGCGACATGCTAATCATGCTAGAAACATGCTAGCAACATGCTAGTAACTTGCTAATCATTCTAACATTCTAGTTACTTGCTAGTCATGCTAGCAACATGCTAATAACGTTAATAATGCTAATAACTTGCTAATCATGCTAGAAACATGCTAGTAACTTGCTATTCATGCTAGCAACATGCTAGTCACATGCTAATCATGCTAGAAACATGCTAGCAATATGCTAGTAACTTGATAATCATGATAGGAGCATGCTAATAACTTGCTATTCATGCTAGCAACATGTTAGTTACTTGCTAATCATGCTAGCAAACATGCTAGTAACATGCTAATCATGCAAGAAACATGCTAGTGACATGCTAGTAACTTGTTAATCATGCTAGCTAGAAACATGCTAGTCACTTGTTAATCGCTAGCAAAATGCTAGTAACATGCTAATCATGCTAGAAACATGCTAGTAACATGCTAAGCATGTTAAGAACATGCTAATAACTTACTATTCGTGTTAGCAACATGTTAGTTACTTGCTAATCATGCTAGCAACATCCTAGTAACATGCTAATCATACAAGAAACATGCTAGTAACTTGTTAATCATGCTAGCTAGAAACAGGCTAGTCACTTGCTAATCATGCTAGAAACATGCTAGCAACATGCTAGTAACTTGCTAAGCATGCTAGCAAAATATGTTAGTCACTTGCTAATCATGCTAATCATGCAAGAAACATGCTAGTGACATGCTAGTAACTTGTTAATCATGCTAGCTAGAAACATGCTAGTCATTTGCTAATCATGCTAGCAACATGCTAGTAACATACTAATCATGCAAGAAACATGCTAGTGACATGCTAGTAACTTGTTAATCATGCTAGCTAGAAACATGCTAGTCACTTGCTAATCATGCTAGCAACAAGCTAGTAACATGCTAATCATGCTATAAACATGCTAGCAACATGCTAGTAACTTGCTAATCATGTTATGAACATACTAATAACATGCTAATCATGCAAGAAACATGCTAGTGACATGCTAGTAACTTGTTAATCATGCTAGCTAGAAACATGCTAGTCACTTGCTAATCATGCCAGCAATATGCTAGTGACAGGACAATCATGCTAAAAACATGCTAATCATGCTATCAACATCTATCTCATCTAAATTTTCAAACTCCAGGCTTTTACAACTGCTTTAAACTACCAGGCTAGGCTTTCTGAAGCCAACCTAAAGTTTGTCTTGACAACCTAAAGTTGTTTTATTGAGGTCTCTTAACTTAGACAACTGATGTGATGTGAAAACAAACTTCAGGAGGTAGAAGAAACCCAATGGCGCTCCAGACTCACTTCTGAGACTGTCTGATATCAAACCAGACTGATGTTCCTGTAGGAGCCACGGTGCATTCAGACTGACTTCTGTACTGGCATCACATTATCTTCAAGACAAACAACCTGTCATATGGCAGACACTCAGACGAGACACTCTCATTTCTATTCCGCGTCTCACACTACAATTTCATTTCCTGTAACAAGTAACAGCGAGGCCTGCATTCAAAGCATCAGGCTGATGAACGACTGCAAGAAACGTCCCGTAAATATGCAAGCGCTCGGACTCTCAGCGGACTGCAGAACACTCAACATGTGCTGGGGCTGCGAATACCATCTTAATATCTCAATATGCTCTTGGAAACACTACTATAGAAGTGTAGTTCAATTTCCAGCCTCACACAAAACTATATGAAAGCCTTCAGAAGATTTGGAATACAGTGTCAAGATTTGGATTTTGTGTCATTTTGACAACTTCAGTTCATTTAATGCAAAAGAGCAGCTAGGATATTCTGCAAAATCACTTCACGGAACGAATCGTACAGCTTTGGAACAACACGAGGATAATTTCAGGGCCAGATTCGTGAAAATCTGCTTAAAGGTGTTAAGAAATTTTGTAGAAACAAACAAACAAAGACAAAAAAAGAGGTTCATAAGAAGTGAAATTCTTAAAAAATGCTTAAGATGCTCTCATATATCTTCTGAAGAACATCTCTTTTCTTCTTCTCCTGTGAATGCTGCTGAAAATGAACATTTTAAAATTACACAAATGAGGTCCCTGCTGTTTGTTTTTTTTTTTTTTTTTTTTTTCAAAAAGCAGGAAGCAAGAAGTCACATCATGCCATAATCATGTTATGTTAGTAATATGCTGTATACATAGGTGGTGTTTTGTCGTAATGTTTAATATTTTAAAACAATAAATTCGTTAACCATCCTACTTTCAAGGATTTCAGACAAGTTGAAGGTTATCCTAACTTCAAGAGGCTATTTTTCGATGATTTTAAGAACATTTGTTTAAAATGTTTTAATATTGTTTGTAATATTTTGTCTTTAAAACAATCTAAAGAATTAAAGATAAGAACATTCTTATATGGGAAACACTAAATATTAATAGAAAATAGCAGTTAATAATAATTTTATACAAATGTGCTGTGAATTCAGACCCAGATGTGAAGCTGAGAAAGACTGCAGTTTTCTCCCATTATCTGCATGACTGCAAATGTGATATTGATTTATACAACAGTTCAATAATCAAGAAGCTAATAACTCCCTACTTCTATTTTGGCATTAAAATTAACTGAATAGAGCTGTTAAACGTATAAACGTCACAGAACTGTTGTGCAGTGTTTTGTTCCTGAGCGAATCAGTCTTTTTGAACGAATCACCTCTGAATGAATCAGTGACGGGTGTGACGTGCATCACATTTAACCCATTAAGACATAATTAACTGTCTCTTCCAGCTAAAATTTGAGTCCATAATCCATAATAACGCTTAAATGTGCATCTGCTGTTGTCTCTCGCATCAAAATCCAGCCACGTATTAGTTTAGAGCTGTTTAAACGCTGCTTGATCTGTGCAGATTTCTCTCCTGATTCACACCAGAACACTTTT